TACGGAGACTAGGCACGTACCTTGTCCTCGCACAAACTATCGATTTGAAACACTACGTTACCGCCTTCCCAGTGTGATGAACAAACGGAAACTAACAACTGATAATCTGCGTATATTGTCTAAAACTGAAATGTTAAAGCGGATGTGCTGATTGTGTTGTAAATGAATGTTGGGTGATTTCTCTATGGTTATTCAGTTTTATTCTTTCATGCATCGCTTTGTTATGAATATTTTTGTGTGTTTTAGAGTTGTGATTCTATTATTTGCTGTCATGGGCCACATGCGTGTTTCTTTTTGTTTGTATTGTCGCTTTCCGCTGCCTGTAACTTTTGTAACTTTTTGTAAATTTGTAGTTTAATGTTTTTTCTGGGTGAAGGGGCCAGTCAAGCTGTGAAATGCAGCTTTTTTTCCTTCGCACCAAACCGCGATAACAGTGTATTTTCGTGTACTTGTCACGTGGTTGAACAAAATCCATCTCAAAAACCATGTTTCCCGCTTTAACATGCTGAGCGTTGAACATACACTGAAACTCTGTGGTAGAAAGCTTGCCTATTGGCACGGGATAATCGCAGCCATTTTTCTCTTCTTGAAGTGCTGAGCGCTGAACTTCAACTACAACACTGTTTGATGGACACGTTGACTATTAGCGGAGGATATTCCTAGACATGTTTCCTTTTTCAAAGTGCTATGCGTCGAACTTCCAACTACAACTCTATTGGATGAGAAGGTATACTCTGGGCAGAAGATTTTTTAGCCATGTTTTCCTCCTCTATATGCCGAACGAAGCCGCGGTAGAGATGGTGTTTCCAAATCACTGACTACAAAGAAACACAATTATGAACAACGTCAAGATTCATCAAGCAAAGTATTTCCACGGTTTTTTTTTACTGAATTATGTGAGCAGGTTAAGTAATATTGGAGAAAATTCTGAGCCACTTTTCCCTCGTCAACGTGGTGAGCGTTTAGCTTCTACTACAACTTGACTTAGTAAAAAGCTTGCTTATTAGCCCAGGATATTCGGAGCCATCTTTCTCTCCCTAAAGTGCTGAGAGCTAAACTTCAACTGCAAGGCTACGTGATGAACACGTTGACTATTAAGAGAGGATGCACTTATTCATATTTCTTGTCTGAAAGTGCTATGCGTTGAATTTCCAACTGCAAGTATATTTGATTAGCAGGTTTATTTATAGGCAGAACATATTTTAGCAATGCTTTCCTTCTTAATATGCTGAAGGAAGCCGTGGTAGAATAGATGTTGTTTCCGAAGGACAGACATTAAAGGAACACGATTACTATAGATATCAACATTAATCTAGCGACGTACTTCCACAGACTTTCGACTCAATTTTATCAGATGGTTGAGTAATAGCAAAGAAAATTTTGAGCCATGTTTCTATCCTCAATGTGCTGAGCGTTCAGCTTCAGCTACAACTTTACTTGGTAAATAGCTTGCTTATTAACACACCATAATCGGAGCCATCTTTCTCTCCTTTAAGTGTTGTGAGCTGAACTTAAACTACAAGAATATATGATGAACACGTTAACCATTAGCAGAGTATACTTCAAGTGAAGTTTCCCTTCTTAAAGATCTATGCGTCTAACTTCCAACTACAACTTTATTTTATTAGCAGGTTTACTCTAAGCAGAAGTTATTTTTAGCCATGTTTTCCTCCTCAATATGCTGAACGAAGCCGCAGTAGAGATAGTGTTTCCAAGTCGCTGACTATAAAGAAGCACAATTATGAACGACGTGAAGATTTATCGGGCGATATACTTCAACAGTTGTTCGACTTCTTTTTGTGAGCAGGTTAAATATAAACGGAGAAAATTCTGTACCATGTTTCCCTCCTCAACATGCTGAACGTTCAGCTTCAACTGCAACTATGCTTGGTGAGCAGCTTCTCCATCAGCACAGGACATTCCGAGCCATCTTTCTCTCATCAAAGAGCTGAGACCTAAACTTCAACTACAACACTAGTTGATGAACAGGTTGAGTGTTCGCAAGAGATATTCTTAGCCATGATTGATCTATGCGTCAAATGTCTAACAACAATGCTATTTTAGGAGGAGGCTGAGTATAACCAGACGATATTTTTATCCATGTTTTGGTCCTCAGCATGCTGAGCGAGTCCTCAGTAGAGATAAGGTTTACGAAGTACAGACATTTAAGAAACACAATTATGAACGCTGTGAAGATTAATCTGGTTCAGTACTTTATCAGTTTTTCGAATCGATATTATGGGCAGGTTGAGTATCAGCGGAGAAAATTCCGAGCCATGCTCACCGTGCTGAGCGTTGAACTTCAGCTACAACTCTAATTGATGAGCAGCTTGTCCATTAGCGCAGGATGTTCTGGGCCATATTTCTCTCACCTATTTTTAACTATATTTTTAACCTTGTTTTCCTTCTCAACATGCTGAGCGAGTCCTCGCTAGAGATAAGGTTTACGAAGTACGGACAATAAAGAAACACAATTATGAACGATGTCAAGATTAATCTGGTTAAGTAATTGAGTTCTTCGACTCCATTTGATGAGCAGGTGTAGTATTCGCGGAGAACAATCTGAGCCAAGTCTGCCTCTTTAATGTGCTGAACGTCGAAGTTCAACTATATTTTATTTGGTGAGCAGCATAAATATTAGCACAGGCGACTTTCAGCCATATTTACCTCCTCAAAGAGATGAGCGTTGAACTGCAACTACAACTCTACTTGATGAGCAGGTTGGCTATTAGCAGAAAATATTGTTAGCCGTGTTTCCCTCCTCAAAGTGCTAAGGGTCGCTTCATTTGATGAGCAGGTTGACTATTAGCAGCTTAGATTCTGAACTATGTTTCCCTCCTGAACCTTCTATGCGTCGAACTTCCAACTACAACTCTATTTGATGAGCAGGTTTACTGTAAGCAGAAGATACTTTTAGCCATGTTTTCTTCCTCAATATGCTGAAGGAAGCCGCAGTAGGGATGGTGTTTCAAAATCACTGACTATAAAGAAACACAATTATGAACGATGTCAAGATTCATCTGGCAAAGTATTTCCACAATTTTTTGTTGGCTGAATTATGTGAGCAGGTCAAGTATTACCGGAGAAAATTCTGAGCCGTGTTTGCCTCTTTAACATGCTGAGCGTTGATTATGCACCGCAACTCTGTGGTAAGCAGCTTGCTTATTGGCACAGGATAATCGGAGCCATCTTTCTCTCCTTAAAGTGCCTAGAGCTGAACTTCCACTGCAAGGCTATGTGATAAAGACGTTTACTATTAAGAGAGTATATTTTTAGTCATGTTTCCGTTTTCAAGTGCTGCGCGTCTAACTTCCAACTACAACTCTATTTTCCCTCCTGGACCTGCTGAGCATTGAATGGCAAGTACAACTGCATTTTTGAGCAGTTTTACTGTTAACAGAGGATACCCTGAGCTTTGTTTCCATTCTCAACGTGATGATCAGTAAAATGCATCTACCATGTCAGTCATGTACACCCTCATGCAGGTACACATTCCCATTACCTGCTGATAAAATATATAAATCATCGAGGTTGGCAAGCCAGCCGGCTCCGTTGAACCCGCCTAATGTCGTTCCCGGCCTGATTGCTCTTCATCATTTTTCGCATAGCAGAAGTACACTAACCAAAAGTATTTATTGTTTAAACGGTCCGTATGTAGCATCTGTGACTTTCAGGCAAGATTATACTAAGGTACTGTCAGCACCATTTTGGGGGGCTGCAGTAGTGAACAAAGTTCTCGCAGAGTTCCTTTTGCATTTGCTTATAGTCGGTGGCAAGCTAAAAATATAAAAAGTGAAATGTACCACTTTCTATTCTGGATATGTGTGTCCATTTACAGCTGCCCTTTGCTGTGACGCAATTATTAGGACAAAGTAATAAAACTTTAAGTCTTATCCACATGTAGTCAGCATCCTTATTGCCTGTCAACATTCGATGCAGTTGAAATTTGTGATTGTGCGGCGTTTGAGGTGGTCCCAAGTGGCAACAGCTCGGAATGTCTTGCAACGTTTTATGGCGTTCCGTCATTTCCGCAGCACGCGGCCAACACAAAGGAAGCATTGAAATTAAGGACAATGCAGCCTTGTGGGAGGAGCCTATATTCATTCTTCGACAGCACCCCTTTTATAGATGACTCGAATGCGAAACGCACTCGGTGTGGCTATTTCACTGTGCTTTCTTTTTTTGGCGTGCAACGTTCGTCAATGTTCAATAATTAATTTTAACTTTCACGAATACCACTAAATAAATTTCCCCATTTTTTTAGTTACTTAGTTGATTGGCACGTGGTCGTTTTTCCCAAATTTATCAGTACATTACTGCTCAACGTTTTTATGATCACATATACGTACAGTCACTCTAATTGCATGACTCCCCTAAACGTCCTGCGACCTTTCTCGATCTCTGACGCCAGCTATACGTTCAAATCCTCGACTGCATGAATCTTGCTTTCTATTAATAAAGCCAAATTATTCTAGGTATACACACGGGATAAGCAACCACCTTCCCCCTTATCTCGGATGTGAAAAGACCGTGGGACGCCTCCCGCTGGGTGCTCCCGGCAGGACAACTGAGGTTGTAAAGGGTGATATGAGATGGGTAAATTTTGAGGCGAAGTAAGTTCAGAGCAATATTATGTTCAGAGAAAAACTAGGGAATCTGAAAAATAGTAGCGGGGCAGGAGTGTTCCGTTGCTTGTGTGAGAAGAGGGTTGAGCGCCAGTGAAGAAAATTAATTAGATGATGACCGAGTACCCCCAATGTTGCATTCAAGAAACTGTGTACTACCCAACTTCACCCTAAAAAGCCGTGGATCAATAGCAGATCGTCGTGAGAAGCACGTCATCCCTCAAGTTTTTTTTTTCATATTCGTAACCCTGGTGGAGCTTTTGTTTTAGGCAGGACCAAGGAAGGGGGTACGGGGGGGGGGGTGCTTCACTAGTGAAGAACCCTGCGCACCCAAGTATCAACGATTGTGCCTATCTTTATTTCTTTACTGTGCAGCACCGTCTCTTCGGGAGTCAACTCGTTGGCGGCTGTTACCCTCGAAGACGTCGTCAAACGCTACATCGTGCAAGACATGAGCGATCGCTCGTCCACTACGCTGACCAGGATACTAGGTGCGGATCCCAATACTTCACTGTGGTGCGCATGCTGCGTTAGCACAAAATGCAAGTCGTGACAAATCCATAACGTGCGCCGTATGAAATGTACATCAAATTCACCATGCTCACATTGAGGTTTTGTAACTAAAGTCTGTTTCATTCGTAGAGAAATTGCGAGCGAGTCAATGCTTTGCAGCAAAAAAAAAAAAAAAGGCCAGATAATCAGTTATGGTTATTACCTTTCTTCTCACTCTTTATTGTGCAGCGCTAACATTTGGGTGCACCGCCATTGCGCTCGTTTACGTCGCGCAGAACATGGGCAACGTCTTGCAGGTGAGATATTGGGCCACAGCTGTCCCACAAAGCATTACTGCTAGATTTCGCCTGTCCCTTTTTCTTTCGCCTAAGAAACCTTGATGCCCATTTCAGGCAGCGCTGGCAATCTTTGGCATCGTGGGAGGACCGCTACTGGGAGTTTTCACCCTCGGCTTATTTTTTCCCTTTGCCAATAGCATTGTGAGTCTGTGGCACTTTTGCAGCAATTTCGAACTGACTACTATAACGTCACAAGAACAAAGAACAACTTATAATTTACCATACAATGTTTGTAACCTCCCCATTTACATTGCACGGAAACAAATCATGACTGCCATGAAAATGGACAAAACTTAGCGTGCAGTCTGTCTGACCGTCGCTCGTTGCACTTCGTAATTTTTGAGATTTCTGTTTTCTTAATTTTATCCGACACTCAAAATAAATCGGAGTGTATAAATATCGGCTTACACATAGCATGTTAGAGAAATTACACTGTCGAGCATCGGGGATGAGTGGATGAAACGGCGCACTTGGGTGCAGCGGTGCGATCCGTCGAACTTGCTATCTAGTACCGTTAAAAATTGGAGGACGCTTGAGGTTCGTCTTCAAGAGTAGATCGGGATTGCGTAATAAACCTCCTTTGTGCGCCTCGCCATCTGACCCGCCAGCCTGCTTTGGTTTCTCGGTGCGTGTCTCAACCGTGCCGTGAGGAAACGAGCGACTGTGAGCGCTACATTCTCTATTTTCGGGTCACTGATAAGATTTTTTTGTTTTCGCTCACAACCCACGACGCCAACGCCGTTAATTTCTGCGAAATGAGCTCTTTAATGCGATAAGTTGCGTGCACGCTTATCGCACCTTGTCTTAACCATGCACGCAGGGGGCCGGTGTTGGCATAATGACGTCCATGGTGGTGACCTTCTGGATTGGCCTCGGCGCATTTTACTACAAGCCCGCGAAACGGCTGGCTAGGCGCTCGGTAATGGGATGCCTGCAGGAGTACATCAACGCGACGCACCAGAACCCCGCCAACGTGACCTTTCCGGTTATTCCCGATCCTGATGTCGCCAAGTGAGTCGAATAATCTGTTAACTTGAATTGAGTAGTGATTGAATTGAGTATTCAGAACACAAAACGCGCAACTGTATGAAACGACTCAAGATTCAATTAAGTAGCTATTTATATTAGCGAAATTAACGAAAGGAACGCACAAACGCCGCCTATCAATATGAAGAAACAGCAGCACTAAAAAACAAAAAATAAAACAAGGAGAGACACGACACAGCGCCTGCATCGTGTCTCACTTTGTACATGTCTACTTTAGGTGCTTTTGTACTTTCATAATAAATTACCACCAGCTAGCCCAAGTTTTCTTTCTATATAGTCCCGTCTATCAAATATCGGCAGACATTTGTATTTAGTGCAATAATGTGTTTTTTTTTCGTATTCTTCGCACACCCTTTTATGTATATATGTATATATGAAAAAAAGCAAGAAAAAGCAGCTAAGCTCTTCCATTGTTACCTATATTTAGCTTATTTATGCACCATATTTAGATGCTAAGGGCCGAAAAACGGTTAGGAAAATGCCATAACCACGTAAGATTGTCTTATTCAATGTTTTTTTTTATATTACTGCTCTTGTATATAAAAACACCACGGAGCCCCTTGCATGCGTAGCATGCCCTCGTAAGTTGTTCCCAAGGAAAACTGTATTATACAATCTCATGGATCCATTTTTTTTTCTTAGCGGTAGCTAAGCTGAGATAAACATACGGGACTTCACGATTGTTATTGCTGCTTTTTTTTTTTCGTAGCAAGGACATATTCTACCCCTACCGGATCTCGTATGTCTGGTACAGCATGATTGCCTGCATGCTGGTCGTCTTCGTCGGTATCGCCGTTAGCCTCATAACCGGTGAGTTGTCACAAACGGGGAGCTCTTCGGTTATTACTCGAGGAGATACGCTTTAAATGTTTTACATGAAGGTCAACAGCGGCACAGCTGGCGACAAATGTAACTGGCGCAACAATAAACAGCCGCTAGTGACTACATTTGTTTTACTTCGTCATATAATAAACTGAGAATGCAGATATGCTAAATGACAAGACAAAAGCAGTAAGACAGGTTCAAAAAATAAGTGACCAACGAAGTACGCCAGATTTTTTTGATAAAGATTCATAGTGCCGTTCTTGGCTGTCAGTTAATATCGCAGAAAATCCGCAGAAGTGTGTATACCGAACTGTATTAGCGCCTTGAATTGGGCTGGTTCTTTCTTCTTTACTTGTTTAGTGCGCTAAAAAATTGCTAAAATTATTCGAACGTGCAGCCTAGATGTAAGTTTCAAACAGTATTTTAATGTTATAAATTTTTGTTGCGTGATCACTCTTGAGTTTCAGCCTCTCGTAATGACAGGGTTGAACGCTAGGTATTGGCTGAGCATTCCGTGCACTGTCCCGCGACAGTTAAGAACAGCCTACAAAGCTGCACACGACGCAAAAACGTCGCGAATGTAGTTGAACAAAGCGGAAACGTCCTTGGGTTCTTGGAGCGAAACTTGTTCGCGAATGTGCAATCCTACCCGACCACTATGATTTAGTCAAGCAATTCGTTTAATTAAGTATATCATGGAATTAGTAGGGATTATGATCGTCCAACAGAATTGAATAAACGCAACGAATATTGATGCATATATTTAGTAAACGTGCTTAGCCCAGATTGGCTTCTTTTCCAGGGCCCTATGATCCGACGAAAGTGGACCCGAGGTCCATTCATCCGATTTATAATTGGATCGTCAAAAAGCTGACGACACCGCCTAGGAGAGAAAAGTTAATGGTTAGAAGTGAGGCAAGTGTCACATTCATTTCATCTTCATAGACAAAATATGATGGTTTTAGTTGACGACTCTCCGATTGCGAATATAAGTTTTGTGAACTAAAGATCACATGCGACATATCTAATTATCCGCCGTTTTTCACTTGATTAGATTGACAACAGGTCGACCATGCACCTGACATACACCTGTCTGCTTGTGCGCCTTTCTGAATCATTTTCAGAATACGCATTACGTGGACGCAGGGTAGGATCCAGCCGCTCATACAAGAAGACGGGGAGGGGGGTCGTTTGAAGCAAAATTGAAGAGGGGGTTCCAACTTTATTTTAATAGTTACTATCATCAGACAAACCTTTTAACAACATATATGCTGCCAATTCGAGCTCGCAGAGGTCCCTCTTACTTTTCTTAATCTATGATAAGAGGTGGACTACAAGCATTCAAGGCAAGCCGGGAGGGAGGGGAGGGGGGGTGCCTACACGGGATCTGGGGGCAATCATCCCTACCCTACCACCTATGCATGCGTGCATGGCTGCCCCACGGTCACTTCTTTCGCTTAGTATTAACTAAATGTGAGTAGTACCTCATTCCCCAGTCCTTCGATTTCATGCCACCGATTATCCGTTCAATGACGTGCTGCATGGTCCTTCACTTTTCAAGAGTTTCTTTTTGTTGTTGTTATTATTGTTAATGTTGATTTTTTTGTATTCTTCTTGATTGATATATGGGGTTTAACGTCCCAAAACCACCATATGATTATGAGAGACGCCGTAGTGGAGGGCTCCGGAAATTTCGACCACCTGGGGTTCTTTAACGTGCACCCAAATCTGAGCACACGGGCCTACAACATTTCCGCCTCCATCGGAAATGCAGCCGCCGCAGCCGGGATTCGAACCTGCGACCTGCGGGTCTGTAGCCGAGTACCTTAGCCACTAGACCACCGCGGCGGGGCTTTTGTATTCTCCTGGTTTCACACTCATATTAGCACATAAAATATTGATGGCCGCAAAACTTGGTGCGGTTTGAAATTTTAAACTGTATCCGGGTGCTAACATTTGCGTCAATAGGAAGAATACGACTGGGACCGCATGTTTGAGCTGGGCCGAAGGGGAACGGGCGCCGATCACGTGGAATCGGGACAGTTAAACGCTGGCTACGTGGCTCAAGAGGCGGCGCCGTCGAAGGACCAGACAAAGGCACCCACTAACTGGACCATCGGAGAAGCTCCGGGTATGCCGAAACTTTCGCGCGTTTTGTTTTTACCAGTGCCATTAGTTAAATAAGATCGCCTGGGATCATTTCAATCTTGATGAAATCAGCACGAAAATATAGTCATACAGAAGGCAGGAAAAACGGATGTAGTGCTAACCACAGAAGTCACACGTAAATAAATCAAAGACCTTCCTTTCTGTCATATCAATATCTTACATAATTTTGTTTAGTTCGCGCTGCTTGATTTGCGAACAGGTATGCTGTAGCAGACGCCATCGGGGACGCACAAGGACATCTGTATATAAACTGGAGAACAAGGGGACCATTGTTAACACAGATACTTTGAACTAAATGCAATATTTTAACACTATAAGGCTGATGCCTTCGTGTAGTTCAATAACCCCGATTGGGAAGCATCATTTGTTCAACGGATATCGAGTATCAATTGAAAGCGAAGCGTCATCACCGACCAGACGAAATTTAATCTTCAAATTGTTCATCGTTTTCTTCATTCGGTTCTATCCCTAAATCAAATTTCTTAGTTCGCGCGCGCTGCAGCATTTAGCTAAATTTTGAAAATTTACCCAGTGTGACCGACGAATATAAAAAAATGGACGAAGTTCAACACAAAGTTGCTGCAATATCAACTTTTGTTACACGTTGCGCATGCTGTTCGCATAGATAAGCCGTCATTCTGAATGAATAAATTCATTTTAAAGCTTGTTATTTCAAGAGTCCTGCCAACCTATCCTACGTCAACAACGTGCTGTAGGACCTCCTTCTTAATATCATGTGCGAGAAAAAAATATCAAGTCTCATGGATCCTCCATGTCTCAGGCTTACATCATGGTCCACCTTGCTTGCCTTTTTTTTTATTATCTGTGAACGCTGGGATAGAAAAAGTAACTTACTCTTGGCATTAAAAAGAGGACGATGTCAGTGTAACCGCAACGCAGTCAATGTCCTCCGCGGTCAGACAATTGCGCGCTCAAGGTATCTTCCGATATATACATGCCTGAGATTTTATGAGTTACCACGATACACCTACACCCTGTACTGGTGCACTTCTCCAGAATGTAGTGGAGAGAAATTTGAATACAGAAGGATGTCAAATACAGGCGGATTAACTATGGCTTGAATGCTCTAGCCACTCGTATGGCGTACTAATATAATTTATGGTGCCCCGAGGTGCCAATAAAACCTACGAAATATTATCTGGTAATAATGTTCACTATAAGAAGAGAACACGCCGTAGCGTTGGATATCGTACTTCAAGACATCGCGATTATTTCAATATCGGTTAAAGCTTATCTGACAATTATCTAAACCAAGACATAGCAGTTGTTTCGATGGCTCGGATCAATTTAAGCTTGTGCATAGCATAACAGTGGTGTAGCCAGGGGGCGGCACACCAGACCGGTACCCCCCTCGCGAATATTTTTTTTTCGCCATGGCAGATAGAGCGAGAAATGCCCATTTCAAGTGAATGCCTCCCTCCGAAATTAAGCAGGTACCCCCCCCCCCAAAAAAAAAAATTCTGCTAACGCCCCTGTGACATAAGAATCATGTATACGCAACTTGCGGGACATATCTAACACATCCCACTAGAAGAACGAATTTCGATATGCATGGCTGTTACGAGAGTTAGAATGAGAGTGGCGCAATTCTTATGAATGGTGTTAACTTACAATGCATGCAGAGTTGAAAACAAGTATAATAATTTGGTAGATGAATCTATATCGCTAATTTATATATCTATCCCGAGCCCATACTTTTGTCACCGCGATGATTCCGGACGATAACTACGGGTGCACATTACCGGTAGTGGAAGTCAGTTTCAACTTGCTTATAGGTCACAACTGATCCAAAATGACTGCCATGAACACAAGTTAATAAACTTCGCATCAAAGCCTTCTTAACATTCAACAAGACATATGGTTGCCTGCCACGCTTCACTAGCGCGTTCAAACTATGCATCCCAGCTGTTACTGAATTGCCTGCCCAATAGACAAGTTCCAACAGATAAAAGTTTACGCATCGTGTTGAAAAGTTAGTGTTAAATATGCTGTTTTTTATGTAAACATGACATTTCGAGAGATGTTACGCTTGGTTTGGACTGCGACGTAAATCGTGTGTGCGATTCCGTTTATGCACGTGGCCGCTTTCGTGCGGATAGAATCTCGGGAAAAAGAGACGGCTCGTGAAACTGGAGATACGAAGATTGCTTCGTGCTGTCCTCACTGTACATCCCGTTGCGTACCAAATATTCAATCGTAAACGATCGTCGTGCTGCGCAGTGTTGCCGATGGCGGCTACTTTGTGCTCATAAGTGGTGGTATACGCCAATTGGCGACTAACACATCCAGTTTGCGCTATGGCTATACTTTCTTGCTACTTTTAAGCTTCTAATCTGCCGCACCAAGTAGGCATTTTTTCTCGCTTTTGGAGGCAAAATACATTGTTTTTTTTTTGTTTTTTGTCGCCTCTGTCGGTTCACCCGACGCGCACGCGCGCCCTCTACCCACCAGCAGGGAGGTGCGCATCGAAATGCAAGGCACACTTGGAAATACGAAGAGACGAAGTTGCATCCATGTTGGCAAAACGCGCGGTCAGCACGCTGCTTGAGCTGCCCGCCATCTGTGTTGATGATGTGCGCTAATTATTTACGAGTAATCAGACACGCAACCAATGTTTTTGAGTAAACTTGAGAAAACAGAGATCCCCAACAAAACGGGGCTGGCCTGTTTCATGATCCACAGTTGAACTTGTAATATGCAAACCTATAGTAATCTCATTGGCTGGCAGCATCAAGGAAAATCTGTTTTAGCGTTCAATGTTCCTACTGACTTACTGGCTGAAATATGCGAACATGACATTGCGTCTAGCAAGAACCCTGACCTTTTTCTGCATAAATGTATGCGCACGCGTAACGAATTTATGATAATTCATTCATTAAACTTATTTGCAACTAATTGGTAGCTTTGCATGGTCTCACTCATCGAAAATATGCTATTTACTGATCAATAATAAAGAAAGCTCATAACACTTTTGTAGTGGTTGACTACAAATTTGGCGATATTAAATAACATGGACACTTTGGCTGCTTTCGGCTTGATTTCTGGCTCTTCCTTAAATTCACCCAACAGCAAACCTGGTGCTGTATCACGCAGAGATACACGACGTAACACAAATGTCATTATATATTGCGCTTTTTGTCGCCTTTTCTTTTTTGAGACCAGTTAATACAAGCCGAGTACTGATAACTCTTCAAAAGCAGCTCTGCAAAAGTGGAACAGACAAGCGACGAAACTGCGCCTACAAAGCAAACCTACAAGCTGTGTACAGATGCGCTTCGTCTCTGTGGTTTCCTGCATGCCAGTACACGTTCTTTGTTCAGGTGCTTTCGAAGCGCAACAATATTTACAAGTATCATCGACGCAAGTTTCAATCAGCGAGTACTGGTTCTTGCTCTTTCAGCTCCAGGCTCGGCTTCCGTTCCCCCAGCAACTATGAGGAGAGTGAGTGTAAGTGAACCCGCGTTCTATCCACTACGCCAGCCGTCGGGAATCAAGCCTTCATCTCCGGCGCCATCAGAGCCCTTCGACGTGACGTCATCAAAGGCCGCGTCACCGTCTGTCCATACGGAAGCCCTCAGCGTGCCGCACGAAACGAAGCCTGAATCGGACACGATGGACTCGCCACTTCGAACAAACCCGCCACAAGAGGCGCCTGCGACGGCGCCTGCTGACGGCGCTCGAGAAACTAGTGGAACAGATGGACCAACGTCGGCAAATTAGACCACACATTGGCACACTTAGACAAGGACAGCTGTCATGCGTGCCACACTGCGATTGCGTTGTAAATAAATTCGCGTGAAACCCCCACCGAAAATAAAGTCATGGACATTTCGTATAGTCACGCTTTTGAGCCTACAATTTACGTAGCAGCTGGACGTGACAAACTGTAACGCTTCGCCATAAGCTTGCGCAAAAGGAGAACTGTGGCGAGGCGTGCCCCCCCTCCTCCGCTCCTAGTCTTCGAATGGTGCCGCCATTGTTTATTATGCAGCTTTTAAGGTCACGCAGGTTTTTTTTTTTTTAAATAAAGACGACCGAGAGGCATTTGAAGAAATCTCTTTTCAGAGTTTCTACCAAGCGTACATTTCTAAATTCCATAGGTTTTACAGATTTTGCCTATGTGATTTTCGATAAAATTCCCGGAGTGAAGCTTTTTTATTTTTTTTGTCAAGACAGGATAACACTATCACAAGATAAAGCCACATTCTAGTAATCACATTAAAAAATAAACCTGATATATTCTCATTAGAATACTTACCCCGATACAGCCAAGTCAGAAAAACGGGAAAGCTGCGTCGTAATATTAAAAATTCGTTAACTGAACGTAATTTCATACAAAGTATACGTGTCGAAGGATTCAGTACTGAAAATGCCGCGAGAACTCAACCAATGCATTTCTTTTCTTTTCTTTTTCGTCACACGAAAACAAAAACGATTTTCTGCATATTTATTCGTGCAATTGTATCTGTTCGTCTATTCATATACATGCAAACTAAAAAAATTCATGTGGGGTTTAAACCCCCCCCCCAACCTACCCTCCCCCCACCCTTGCCTAGCTGTGCCAGTGATTGCAGCCCACCACTACAAAAAAAAACGTGGCCGCTGCAACAAGCGAAGTGCCTGATCTTCAACAGAAACTTTGCGACCAGAGCACAACACATACGGTATGAGCCGTCTGCTAATCCTCTCTGTCGGTCGGATACCCTCATAGATCGAGGCTGGCCGATCGAGTCGCCCGCGCTGCTTAGCAAGAACAAGAACTCGGTTCCGTCACGTCCTGGCAAGCGGCCTTCTGCGAAAGCTGAGTGAGCACTCGGGGGTTTCGTCTAAGGGTCAGGCGGATCTAAATAATAGAGGTTGTTAGACCAATTACAGTTTGCTTTGCTAGCTGAGCTGATGTCCACCGACTCTCCAGGAGGTGGCCAGGGGCGGCCTCCGCCTTGGTCGGCCTCTCTTCCACATGATCAAATGCCACTTGAAGCGTTCTTCCGTGGTAGTGTAAACAGTATTCCTGTAGCTCTAGTGCCCCTGCATAGAGGATTCATTCGTCTTGCCAACCCTAAAGCGCTACAAGCTGAGCTCCAGTCGGCCACGCACCACTACCTTACACATTAGTGATATTGGGCAGTTTGGCAAAGGTGGGATAATTTGTAGATCGCTTACCAAGCTTATGTGCATGATCTTCTGAAATGCTCGACATCTGACATCGATGAAAGTGAATGCTTTCATACCGCCACACCTTGCATGCTACCAAGGGATTGTTCGCGGCGTAGATAATAGCGTAAGCCCAGAAGAGACGCTCGAGAAGCTTTCCCCCACTGGTGCGATAGCTATATACCAATGCAACAGAACAGTCGATAAACAACGGGTCTCCACTGAGTCGCTGATAGCCACATTTGCCGGTTTGCCATGTCCTTCAGAAATCAAAGTGTGGCCTTTGAGTTTTAGAGTAGACCCGCTTGCCTCACGTCTATTACAATTTCGCAACTGCTGGCGCTATGGCCATAGTATGGGAGGTTGCAAATCTGCTTTGCGTTGTTGTTTTTGTGGTGAAGGTCACTCCCCGGACGACTGCTCTGCTTAAGTCCTCAAGTGCTGCTTGTGTAGAGGTACACACAAGGCTGATAACCCTACATGCCCAGCTAGAAACCAAGAGATACAAGTCTTTGAGATAATGGACAAAAGGCGGTGCTCACGCAGGGGGGCTATTTCGGCGATAAAACAAAGAGGATATGGTTATGCTAGCGTAACTGCACGTAACTAGGCAATAGGTGATGCGAATATTTCGCAAGTGATCGCATAATCGGTCGAGAAAGCTATGGCCGAACTGGTAGAACGTGTCGTAGAGACTGTTCGAATGCCTTAGTGGGTTATAAGCGTCACAAATGGGGCTATTGCCACAAGTGGGTAGTGTCCCAACAGTATGTCACAGCCAAGAAAGAGTTCCCTCACAAGTAGACGATGTTCAGACGATGCACTCGAATGAGGGTCCTAGTTCCAGCTTGTCTGCAAATAGTGGTAGCTCTTCAGACTCACAAATCTACCATGCAGATTTACAGGAATGTACAAGCATGAATGTTGACCCACGTGCACAGAAACGAAGGGGACCTCTGCTAAACGTTTCCGATACCTGCACTAACTATAAATAAAAAAAAAAGTTCTACCTCAAGTCAAGGGTACAGCTTACATTTTGGAGGAGGCTGTAGCCTACAGTGCTTTTGTCACCGGAAGATAGAGTGCTGCAGTGGAACTGTCAATCTGTATTTGCTGTTTCTACTGATCTCAACGTTTTAATTTCTCAGATTCATCCAGATGTTATCATATTACAAGAAACTTAGTCATCTCGAGATAAATTACCGACAATTTCGGTTAGATTGTCCATCCAGAGGAGGTGGTTTAATAACTCTTCTGTCTAATAAATTCTGCCATAAAGCAAGGCTATGCTTTAAACTATTGTCTGCAGAAAATGAAATATTAGCAGCAATACCCAACTCTACCAGGAGGTCTCAAAATTTTCTCTGCTTAATGCATATTTTCCTTTGGGTGTGCTAAATACTCAGTAACTAGATTCGGTTCTTCTAAACTGTGGAAAAAAGGTTGTGCCAGCTGGAGATTTCAACTTTCATCATATTTCATGTGGATTTAGAACGGATCAGAATGGAAAACGTCTATGGGACTGGGCGGCATTGAACAATTTCACCTGTCACAACACTGGATCATCAACATTTTTACGGGGCCAGTCCCGATCGGTGCTAGACCTTACGTTTTCGGGTCCAGGACTTTCAGTGTTGTCCTGGGAGACGGTTGACACTGGTTCGATTAGCGACCACATTCCCGTGATATTTGAGATCCACGGGTCACAGTATAATGCACAGTGTCTTGTCCGTTCGATTATTGACCACAATAGGTTTAAAATGAATTCGCTGGCAATTTTTACATCTTTGGCTGAAAATCCAAGCAGCGCAGGTAATGTTTGCAATATTCTTGACTCTGCTCGTAAGAGGTCGGAGTTCAAGACACAAGAAAGGAAAGACCCTACAGCTAATATTTGGGGGAATGACGACTGCTCGAGGGACTACAAACGCCGGAAAGCAGCGTTGAAGCAAATCATGCACAATCAGTCTCCTAGTGAGTGGAACAACTACAAGTTTATTGCAGCGAGTTTCAAGCGTACTGACGCGAAAGCAAATGCTGACGTTCGCCATTTTGCATTCCTTTCAAAATCAAACGATAAAAGCGCATTGTTCCGGTATCTTAGATCTATCAAATTAATTTCACGTCCCTTAAATGCAGAATCGATAGTGCATACTACTCAAGAAACAGAAGATTCGCTATAGGTGCAATCTCCAGGGGTTTGGAGGCTAGATTGTCCACCTGCATTAATTCACCTCTTGTGAGGCAAGACACTCTCGAAAATACTGAAGACGTGTCATTGTCTTTCCTCTCGTCAGTTGTAGCACGTTTACCAGCGGCAGCACCAGGCACTGATGGTATCAATATGAAGTTGCTGAATATTTTCTTGGATGTTGCTCCAAATGTTTTACAGGATACGGCAAATTATTCTATAAAACACTCTTAGATTCCTTCTGTGTGGAAGGTAGCTAAAGTGATACCCCTGCTCAAATATAAAAACAAGGGACTTACTCTAGACAACATTCGACCGATATCGTTAACATCCAATTTTATAAAATTAATGGAGAGACTATTACATGCTCAGATAACTAAATTTGTTATTGTTCATAAATTATTAAATCCCTGTCAAATTGGTTTTAGAACTGTCTATCTGGTGTGCTCACGTCGATTTGGAGAGCAGAATCGAGCTAGCACGTCGATAGAAACAGTATGCAGCATTAGTTAGACTAGATATCTCTAAAGCCTATGATAGTGTCGAATACCCAATTTTATTAAGAATGAGAGAGATTGGCTGGCCTGACTTTTTTTATTGCGTGGGCGACTGAGTTCTAGCTGGACAGGGAGTTTTACTGTGTACTGGGTGGGATATCAGCAGAGAAATTCAGACAGGCACGAGGTGTTCCCAAAGGAGCCGTTTTGTACCCGCTACTATTTAATATCTTGCTTAGCTCCATTCCTCATCAAAGAGTGAACACGTATGTTTACGCGGATGACGTAGCATTCTTTACATCTGCGGATGACATACAATCACTTTATACCCTTTTACAAACATACTTATCTACCTAGGAAGCTTGGCTAGACAGCATTTGTTTAACTCTTAATGTACAGAAATGTGCAGTTCCAGGGTTCTCCCCGCAAGACAATGTAAATATGTCTCTCACTCCAACAAGCTTACATTCCCCAAGTGCAAACACTCAAGTACCTCGGAATGATCTATGACGGAAAGCTCCACTGGAGGATGTATATTGAACATACAGTGACCAAAGCGTCACGTGCGTTAGGCCTACTTAGAAGGATTAGTAACAGTCGATGGGGCATGCGGACAGACGCCTTACTAATGATTTACCGGATTTACATACGCCCTATATTGGAGTTTGGGTGTGATTCTCCGGCGTACCTGCATGTAAGATACGTCCCTTAGTTCTGATTGAGCGCGAAGCACTTCGCTGGTGCCTGGGGTCACCCAAGTTTGTAGCAAATTATGTTATATATAAGGAATCACGAATTCCTTCTTTACCTGTTATAGACTCAAATTATTAACGATTCAAACATTTTTAAGGGTCTATGACTCGCCGATTAGACGAAAAGAGTATATATTTATCAGTGATCCAGCTTTGTTTTTTAATATGACATGGCCTGGCTTTCATACCCCTTAGGGTATGAAAGCCAGGTCCAGAAGCGTTACCCAGAAGCTGTTGGACCCATTGCA